GCCGCCCTCCTCGATGACCTTGGTCCTCTGGGGTTCCCCGATCACGTTGTCGTCTTCGTCGACCAACTCAATGTAGACGTACGGGTCGTTCTTGTCCGCGAAGAGGCCTCCCATGCCAGTGTCCATGTCTTCCATTCCGCTAGCGCCCATGATATTGAGCGACAGCTTGTTCGACGCCCGAGCACCGTTGCCCCACGTCCCGAAGTTGTTCACGCCGAACCTGAGGTCGACGTTGGAGAACCAGCCGGCCGAGATGGTGTCCCTGAACTGCTGGAAACCAGACACGGCCTCGAGAACACCGAGCTTAACTTTCGCGATGCCGTCGGCAGGCTCGTCCTTCGTGTCGCTCTTGTCGCGGAGCTCGAGGCACACCGAGCACAGAGCCGGATCCTCGACAGGGGAGCCCGGAATCGAATCGATGAATCGGATCGGCGATCGAAATTACCCAGATCGGCGGAAATCGGCAACCAAGTCGGGAGAAGTCGAATCGCCGGAAGTCGGCAGGCTAGCAAGGCCTCCATGCAGAAACCCAGAATCGGCATCCCAGGTCGCATCGGATCGGGATCGAGAGGGGCCGAACCAAAAAACCCATGGTCGGGCCGCGCCGCAGGAATCGGCAGGAGCCGCGCCTCGATGCCCTCGAACTTGAGGTACTCGTTCCACTGAGGGTTCGCGCCGCCGTGCGCGATGGGCGCGGTCTCCTGCACCTGCTTCTCCTCCGGGGGGCGGCGCCGACCCCGCGCGGGGGCGCCCTCCCCGGCCGGGCCCACCCCTCGGCCCCGGGGGTCGGTGCGAGCGCCCCCTCCCCGCCTGGCCGGGCCGGGGTGGCACGGTTCACCCGTACCGGAAGGATGGCGCGGTGCAGTCGGGGCGCCATCCAAAGGAACGCCAAAGAAGGAACGAGGCGCCTTCGTGGCCCCAGGAGCGCCTGGGTGCACGAGGAGAGTGATGGAGGAGGAGCCGTGGGAGGGCTCAAGGAGCAGCGAGCCCCTTCCGCACCCGAGGCGGTCCTTACGTTAGCGTCTTGGCCGTAAGGATGCAAGGGCCCTGGACGCCCACGCCGAGGCTCTTCGAGCGGGGCTGACCTTCGAGAGTGGTTGAGGACGGGCCGAAGATGACCGATGAGGCAAGGACGCGAAGGTACCCTTGAGGAGGTTGCCCATCCTTGCTGTGCGGGCTGACTGTACGTCGTGTCGCCTACACATGTGAGAAGCCCGTTGCAAGAAATTGTGGACGCCCGACGTGGGCAGGGAAACACGGGCACGATGCCCAACAGCGCGCGTTGTCCAACACCGACAGCGGCCGCTGTTTCGCAGGCGGCCTCCTGTTCCAAATGGGCAACGCCCACGGTGGCACGGACAGCGAGTCCTGCGCAAAATAAGAGGCAAGGCTGTCGGTCTTCATGCCCGTTATCTCCGTACCCATTTCGATCGCAGCGACGCCGACGTCAGAGTGTCCCTAGCCTTATGTTGCTCCCATCCTACTTAAGGACCACATCCCAGAAGTAATTTCGAGCACCCAGAAAAGTGTCGACAGAGTGTCGAAAGAGTGTCGAAACAGCGTCGGGCGAATGTCCCCCAGGGCCCGACACGTGAAAACCCTCGAGTTTCGGTACTGGTTTATTGTGCTCGAAATTCTTCCTGGGAGTCAAGGCTAAAGTAGGTTGGAACATCATAACCCTGGCCAAGGATGATCTTTGGTGCGCGGCTTCAGGAGGCCGCGGGGGGAGGGGGGACCAGATCCACGCGCACAGGCCACTGCCAAGGGGGGGGGGGCCATGCGAGCATGGGAGTTGCGAAGGAACGTGCATCTCTGAACGTGCGCAGAAATAAAAAGGATTCTCCATATGTTTCCCATATTTTCTGGGGAATCGACGGTGAATGGTGTCTGTGTGTTTTTGTGCCCTCCTGAATCTCTCGTGCCCCTTTTGGGTCAAAAAGGGCTCTTCTCTTCCACCACCCCCCCATTCGCCGCCCCCCATCACGCAGCGCCCGACTCCATGCGCGCAGGCCACTGACGGGGGGAGCCCCGGAGGGCACGCACCAGAGTCGACGACTTCGCCGACGTCGTCGACGCCGACTTCGTCGGCGTCGTCGGCGTCGACGTCGTCGTCGTCGCCGTCGGCGTCGGCGTCGGCCCGGCCAGGACCAGTGCGGGCGCGCGCCCAGTTGCGGTGTGGCGCCGCCACGCTCCTCGCCGCGGGCATCGAGGAGCCGGACCCGCACGTAAGGCTGCCGCGTCTCATCGTCGTTGCCGAGGCCCCACGCCTGAACGACCCGGACGACGAGGGCGTGCTGCGCGGCGAGGGCGGGCTGCGCGGGCGTAGCGACGGGCGCGGCCGCCGCGACGGGCGCGGCCGCCTCGGAGGGGAGGAAGATGGCGAGGAGGAGGAGGAGGAGGAGGAGTACCAGCTTCCATTGTGTCTCTGTCTGGCAAGAGATGGGGGGCGAGGAGGCGAAGGAGCAACAGGAGAACGAGGAGGAGGAGGAAGAGGAGGAGGAGGAGGAGGGGAAGGATCACCCACCTCCAATGTGTCTCGGTCTAGCCTTAGGTCAGGCATGTCCTCCTACAGGTGGATTTGGAGGAAAATATACAATAATCAAACATATTCAAAAATGCGACAGATATATATATATATATATACACACATCTATAAAAATCGCCTTGTTATTTTTACGATTCTTGAACATTCCTCCTGTAGAGGGACACGCTCGACTGAAGTCTAGAGTCTAGCCTGAAAAACCGAAAGGAGGCGGAGGGGGAGGCGGAGGCGGACGAGGAGGAGACGCGGAGGAGGCGAAAGAGGAGCACCCACCTCCAATGTGTACCTGTCTAGCCTGAGAGGAGGAGGAGGAGGAGGAGGAGGAGGAGGAGGAGGAGGAGGAGGAGACGGAGGCGGAGGCGGAGGCGGCGGAGGCGGAGGCGGAGGCGGAGGCGGAGGAGGAGGAGGAGGAGGAGGAGGAGGAGGAGGAGGAGGAGGGGAGGAGGAGGAGGAGGAGGAGGAGGAGGAGGAGGAGGAGGAGGAGGAGGAGGAGGAGGAGGAGGATTGGGGAGGAGGAGGCGGCGTCGCCTGCTCCTCTGGCGCGGGCTCCTCGGCTGGGGCGGCTGCGGGCACCTCCTCGGGGTCCGAGGCGGTCGTGGCCCTCTCCTCCTCCTCCTTCGGCGCCTCCTCCGCGGGCGCCGGGGCGGTCTCCTCGACCTTGGCGGGGGCCGGGTCGTTGCAGCAGGCGAACATGACCGCCGCGGGTGGCTCGGGCGGGCCCCCGACCAGAGGAGCAAAGGACGGCATACGCCCCGAGCTTTCGGAGCCCCTCGCGTATTGCTCGGATCCGCGCCGACCCCGGAGCGCGCCAGGGGCGGCGAAAGGAGGCGCGGCCAGGGGGGCCCAGCGGCAGATCCAAGAAATCCGCGCGGAGCTCCCGAAGTTGATGCTTATGCCGTGTTTGCTTCTTCGGCTGTCAGGCACGCGGAGCCGCAGTTCGCTCTACAGATCTCAGCCAAAATGACCTCTGGGCCGCGGCGGCCGCGCGCTGGGAAATGGGCCAGGCGGCCACCGGGCTGACGTATCCTCGTTCCTTCTTGGCGTGTTTCGACAGCAGGCAGGCAGGCTGGGAGGGGTGGTCGGCTCCTGGCACGTGCTGGGCCCAAGGGTTTGAGGCACTGCGGGAACTGTTGGGAAAGATGGGCTTGCCTCAAAAGGCTGTGGCGAACAGCTGGAGCGCCCAGGATGGCTCAAAGGGCTCGAGATGGCTCTCAAGATAGCTTCTAGCATGTTTTGCAAAGTGGTTCGAGCTATCCCAAGATGGCTCAAGACAGCTTCCAAACTGCTCCAGAAGGCCTCAAGACCGCCTCAAGGCGGATCCAAGTAGCCACGGAGTTCCCAAAGGAGGCCAGAGGCCAACGTCGTTCCAAAACTTTAGCAAACACATGATGTGGGCATCATCGCCTTCTCGCTTCAGGTCTCAAGATGGCTCCAAGATGGCCCAAGAGAGCCTTAAGAGAAACACAAGAGGGTTCCTAGGCGGCCCCAACAGCTCCCAAGAGCGCCCCCAAAGCGCCTAAAGAGGCGACTTTTGGGGCTCCAGAAGGACGACGCAAACTAAGAGCCCCTTATGTTTGATCCATGTCCTCCAAGATGGCCTCAAGAGGACCGCCAGAAAGACCCAAGAGGGGCACAACAGGGCCCCGAAGGAATCCTAAATGGCCCCAGCGGGGCACCAAGATGGCCCAGGCAAGCTGGCCAGGGCCCCCCAACAGCAAAAGGCCCGCAAAAGTATGAATGGTTGACCCGTGGGTATGCTCAGGCAGATCCCGATCTTCGGTTCGACGGCTGCCACCCACCCTTTTATTTTTGTCCACTTCGTGCTCCCATACTTCCCTGATCAGTGCAACTCGCCTGGGCATCGTTGTCACTGCAGGGACTGCTGAGCGAGCGAGCGCGCGTGCATCCGCCTCTACTGCGAGCAGAGCCGCGCCCAATCGGGCGGCACGGAGAAGACCCGTAGCCCTCGGAAACGCACTGGCAAGACCTCATGCCGCGGTTGCGATTTGGCCCTCCGTGTTCCTCCTACTGCCGATGATCTGGTGGGGACACCTTTGGTCGCAGCCGCAAGCGAAAGCGCAGGCGGAGTCAAGGGTCGAACCGGGCTACGGGCGGAGCCTAATTACCCAGCGAGCGCACTCACGGCTGCCAAAGCTGCCGCCGAGGGATGCTGAGTTGCGTCGGGGGGCTGAAGGCGAGCTGCAGGAGCTGCCAGGAGAGCCAGGCGGCGGACGTGCAGCCATCGCAGAGGCGAGACCACCGGGAAGACGATCGAATTGTGCCTTGAACTGGTGGGGACACGCACAACGTACAGAACCCGTGGAAAAGGTGGCACACGTCGCTTTCGCAGCGCTCCAGCGCTGTAGCCGTCCCTATGCGCACCTCTCAAGTCGTGGTGGAACGCCGTGGCAACCCCGCCGTGCTCTCCGGCCACGCAGGCGAGGGAGGCCGCATCGGTGAAGAGGTGCGTCCAGTTGCCGATGCAGGGTTGTGGATGCCAAGACAATTGACAGCAGTCCTATCATCAAATTAAAGATGTGTTTGAAATGTCGGAACAATGTCCTGGAAATGTTTTAAACAGTTTCAAAACAGCTTTATCACAGTTGTAACAGTATATATGTAAAAACATGTCTTTATAATGCCTAAAACAGTTTTAACCCATTTTCAAACATCTGGGAATTATTTGGTAACATGCTTCCTCTCCATTGATCGTCCTCCACAAATGTATGGGGCGACGGAACAGCGACACACAGAAGAACAAACAAACATAACACAAATCCGCAGACGAGCGTGCTAGTGGCAGAAACCGAACAAACGCCAACGAGAACCACAGAAGAACCACGACCAACACAAGCACCCGACACCCCTGAGAAGCGCACATGCCCAACCCCATCCATAAAGAACGTAATAGAAACATGGCGTACGTCAAATGCGAGGGCAATGGACACACAGCAGCACAGCGAGGTATGCTCTAACAGTAGATGAGCATGATACACCCAGTGAACGAGCAGAAACGCTATGCACAAATCTAAGTTCAAGCACAAGTGGCCAAAAAAAGGCCTCCAAGACGATCCAGTGAGAGACAGCACGCGGAGCAATTCCATCCGTCCCTGGTGGCTGTCGCTTCAGCCCCCGCCACACTCCCACCTCGGGATTACGCTCCCGCTTCCTTGCAGTCCAATATCCTGGCTCGAAGTGGCACTCTCGCCTCGGCTCCTGTCTGTCCGAGGGACAAAACGGTGAGCGGCATGCCTGCTGAGTGGCTCCCTCCTTCTCTCTGGCCCCAGATTCCCAGCTCAGATGGCGTCCCCGTTTCAACGCATGCATGTTAGCCGAAGTATTGCACACGATCCACGTGACGCAAGCGCTCGCACTGTATCCAGCCTAGTCGCTAAACAGTGGTGAGCTGAGAGTGTGAGGTCGTCGCTGCCTGGGCACCGCCACACGCGCAACACAATTCATGACCGATGCTGTGAGACCCCCCCTGGAAGCCCGCCAGCTAGTAATAAACGGACATGTATCTCAAGAACCCTTCCGAGGAAACAGCCACATCAATCTCTAAATGACACTGGAAATCGGAATGAACACGGCACCTGGTGAACACTAATTGTTGTGCCCACGCATCCCGGGCTAGCAGATCAAACACACATTCGCACATTCGGAGGACACCGCATCCTTTACACAAGCCCTGGGGAGAAGCCGATAGACCAGGACAAGACGTACTCTATGTCCCTCTGCGTGCGGCGTCCTGACTTCACAAGGATACCTCTCTACACTAGCCTAGCCAAGGAAGCATGATCACTTGGAGCCACGAGGGATTTGGCGTGATGGCGGGAGGAAGCCTGATAGACCTAAAACCACTCTTGATGAACTTGGCCAGCACTGCGGCCACCATAGCGCCGAAGAAAGCTCGCCATGTCAAGCTGCGGCTCCAGAACGAAGACGCCTGCCGGGCAGGAAGGCCGCGGGCTGAGGTGAGCATGTTTCCAAAGCCGCCGAACGGCCAGCCAACCTGTCAGTCCAAACTTCGAGCAAATGGCCGAGTGAGTATGCCACCGACCAGCTTCACCAGTGCCACCACTAGCATCGTGATCGTGTTCATGTCAAATATGAAGGGACCCAGGGACACACAAATAAATAAACGCAGATCCCAGGATTCCCCATGATTGTGTTCCTGTCGCCTTCTCCCCCACTTCCCATCTTGTCCCATCGAATCGACGACTATCTGTGTCTGTGCTTCCCCTCCTCACAAAACAATCACCATCGCAGCGAAAACCTGCCCAGGCCCCGAGAGACCAGGAGCCTCCCTGTGAGCAAAGAGGGGCGGCTGCTCTGGGGCGCAGCCCGCCCAGGCCAGGATGGGGCCCGACGACGACCGCTGCGCCCACGACCTCGACAACGACGACCGCCACCACGATGACCTCGACCACCACGACCGCGACCAAGACCACGACCACGACCACAACGACCACGACGACCACGACCACGACTCTCTCGACCACTACGACCACCCTTCTTCGGCAGAACGGGGGACGTCATGGGGGACCGGCTTAGGGGGGGAAACATCAAGCTGGGATCGGCGGGACGTCGCCGGTAGATCGGCGATAGCCCCCCGATTGCCAATCCGCACGCTCCTGAGCGGGATGGGCTATCGAGCCCCTGTCGGCGATCAATGGTCGATTGGGGCCGGGTGTTGATAGAAGTGCCCTTAGCCTTAGCCCAAGGTGCCCCGAGGATTTCCGAGGAGGCCCCCACGGCCCTCAGAGCACCCCTCGCGAGGCCCAGCGGGCCCCAGGGGCTCCAAAGCTGAGCGCAAGGCTGGGGGCACCTTGGGCAAGGGGCACCTTTAGCAACCCCCGATGGAGGTCGATGCATCACTCCCCTGGCTCTGCCGCTGTTATGAGCTGGGGAGGGGGAGGAGGAAGGGGGGGAAGAGGAAGGGGGGGAGGCGGAGGAGGAGGAGGAGGAGGAGGAGGAGGAGGAGGAGAAGGAGGCGGAGGCGGAGGCGGAGGCGGAGGAGGAGGAGGAGGAGGAGGAGGAGGAGGAGGAGGAGGAGGAGGCGGAGGAGGGGAGGAGGAGGAGAAAGAGGAGGAGGAGGAGGCGAAGGAGGAGGAGAGGAGGAGGAGGAGGAGGAGGAGGAGGAGGAGGACCCCCCCTCGCCAGATTCCCGGCGCGCTCCCCCCCCGCCCCATCGGGCACAGCGCGCGCCTCCTCCAGGCTGAACAGGATGCCGCCCACGGGCGCCCCGAAGGCCGCCGCCACGCCCATCGCGGCGCCCTGGGGCCGGAGCAGCGCGGGGAAGACCAGGAGCGGGGGGGGGTGGGCAGCCGCAGAGGCAGAGGCAGAGGCCTCCCATCGGCTACACGTCAGAGTGACCCTGGGTAAGAGTGACCTTTGGTGCGCGGCTTTTGGGGGGCCGCGGGGGGGGGGGGGCCAAACACAAGCGGGCAAGACGCCACTGCCGCCTCGCGTTCGGCGATCGGGGACCCCAATGTGCCCGCACCAAAGGTCACTCCGGCGAAGGGTCACTCTTACGTGTAGTCGATCCCAGCTTGGGCCCTAGTAGATGGGCTCGGAGGGTCGCGCCGCATCGCCGATGCATCGCCGATGCATCGGCGGTGCACCGGCACCGCCGGCGATGCACCGACGCCGCCGGCGTGGAGGAAAGCTGGTCCCACGTCGAGCCGCATCGCCGGTGCCTCGGCGACGCGGCGCAGTCCCTCCGACCCGATCTGCTTCGACCCCACCTGGGAGACCTGGCAGCCAGGGGGGCAGTCAGGGGGGGCAGGGGGGGGGGGGGGCCCGCGCGCGCGACCTCCCTCCCTCGCCCCCCGGCGCCGCGCCGCGGCCCGCCTCGTGCTCCCTCCTCCTCCCGGCCCGAGGGCTTCGAGCTCTGGCGAGAACCCTGGGCCTTCGGGCGGGGGCCTCTCGGGGGCTTCCGGCAGCGCCAGGGCCTCATGGGGCGGGGGCCTCTCTGGGACAGAGTGCTTCAGACACCGCGTGCTGCCTCCTCGTGCTCTCTGTCGGCGCCCCCGCGCACTCCACCGCCGGATTCGACTCGAACTCCGAGTCGTCGCGCGCTCCTGAGGACGTCCTGCACTGGTGCACCTGGCAGCACACTATGCGGCGCGTCGCTACCGTGAAGTCGGGCGTGTCCCCCTACAGGCGGATTTTGGACGAGAAATGAAAAATACGGAAAAAAAACAAAACATGCGACAAGTCGCCCCCGCACCATTTTCTGACTCTTCTTGACTATGCCTCCTGTCGAGGGACAGTCCCGACTTAACGCTAACGCTGAGCACCTGTCGCGGCTGGAGCACGTGGCACACATCGGCTACACGCAAGAGTGACCCTGGGTAAGAGTGACCTTTGGTGCGCGGCTTTTTGGGGGCCGCGGGGGGACCAAACCTGGGCGCGCAAGCCGCTGCTCCTGCTTCGTCGTCAGCCATCTGGGGACCCATCTGTGCCCGCACCAAAGGTCACTCCGGCGAAAGGTCACTCTTACGCCTAGTCGAACACCTGGCGCACGTGGAGCACTCGGCGCACGTGGCGCACCCGGCGCGCCTGGCACGCTTCGGCCCCCCTGGGGCGCCCGGCGCACCTGGCGCGCTCTTGGCACGCGCGGCGCACCTCGCCGGCGTTGCGAACACTCGGCGTCTGTTCTGCTCCCCGATGCAGTGGAGGCCAGTCCACAAGAAACCTCCTACAAGAAGCCCAACCCTGAGACACGAGGGCGTCCATGGATTTCGGGTGTGGGAGCGTCACGCTCTCCACAGCAACACCATCGAAACCCGAAAAAAACAGGGCACCCTGGAGGCAAGCAGGGTGTTTCTTGGCATGGGTCTCCACTGTAGCTGCTCATCCTATCGCGACCGCTGAATCTGCTGAGACTCGGGTGCTACGTTGTGCGCTGGAATCCTGGAAGGGCGGTCGGGAGCGAGCGAGACGGCCTGCGGCTTGTGGGCAGCTTGTCCTCACCGTGCCCGCGTCCGCTCTATGGAAGGGGCCCTGGGACACACAAATAAATACACACAAATAAAAAGATCCCCCATATTTCCCCATATTTTCTGGGCTTTTGTCTTCCCCACGACTTCCCATATTTTCCCATATTTCCTGGGCGATCGACGATTCATTGTGTCTGTGTTTTTTCCCCTCCTGATCCATCTCCTCCCCCTGCTCCGCCCCACCCCTCGCCCCCCCCCTCCTCGCTGCACTCCTCGCCCCGGGCCTGCGAGATGAACTCGCAGCGGTTGCGGTGGCCCTGCAGCACCGGCGGCCACCTGCCGACCGGGCTTGCCGCGCGGAGAGGGCGCCCCCGGGGGGCACGCGGGCGCGGCGCGTGGCAGGCCTCCTCGCCTCCCCAGTGCCTGAGCAGTGTGTGGCGACCCCACATTCCCCTATGTCCCCATGGCTGTTTCACCGCCCAGATGGGGATACATACATATATATATATATATATACATATATATATATATACATATATATATACATATATATACATATATATATATATATATACATATGGAGGCTGCTTCCTCGGGGCTTCGAAGGGGATGTAGTCCCAACTGGGGTGCCGAGATGGTTGGTGGGGGTCTGGATGGGGATGGGGATGGGGGATGGGGGTCGGTTCAACGATGCCTAATGCTGCTCGTCCTCCCAGCTCCTCCTGCGAGGAAGCGCGGGAAAGATAGCGTGCAGCATCGGTCTACGAAGAGCAAACTGTCCCTGCGAGGCGATCCCCCAGCGAGGGCCCCTCCTGTGCGAGCTGCCCCCCTGCCACGGCTTCTTGGGACTGCACGCTAACCCCCAAGGCGGGGGGCAGCGTCAAGCAAGCGGGCCAGCGGCGCCACTCGGCACGCTGCCTTTCCACACCGTAGCCGCGCACCTCACGCGCCTCCTGCTCGGTCTCTCTGACATGGCAGCGTGGACTTGGGCGTGGCTTCATGGGGGGGTCACAAATGGGGGGGTCAGAAAAGGTCCCCTTTCGTGCCCCTTTCGGGCCCCTCCAGAGCCCCAGGGGGCTCGTTTAGGTACCATTTGGGTACCTTTTCGGACCACACTCGCCGCCCCCCCATCTACGATCCCCCCATTACGCAGCGCCCAATGGACTGCTGTCATCGCACCAGCCGGTCAACCTTGGGCGACCTCCGCTGACAGGGCTGTCCGGATGCTCCACCTCGGAAGCGGGCCGAGGCAGCGCGAACCTGCCGCATGCGGGTTCTGACAAGACGAAGCCAGAACGAGGATAGCATCGAGCGAGGAACCACCGGGAATCTCTGAGATCCCGCGGCTCTGGAGGATGTATCGGGCGTCGCGGCCTTCCCAGAGCGTTCCGGAGCGCTCTGAGAACGTTCAAGGACGCTCTGGAAAGGACGTATCCTTGTCCTAGCCCCGGCTGCTCTAAAGAAGAGCATAACTCAGAACTTTCGGAAGCTCGCGCGTGCTTGCGTCGGCGCCGGACCCATCCACACGGGCGCGCGAAGCGCGCCAAGGGCGGCGCCAGCGACGCCGCCCAAGGGGGTTCCGGTGCCGATCCAGGAAGAGCCTCTCAAAGTATCTGTTTGCTTGCCGCGTCGTCGTCGCCGTCGTCGCCCTCGGCCTCGGCCTCGGCCTCGCCCTCGCCCTCGCCCCCGCCCCCTTCCCCTTCCCCGTTCCCTCCCCGTCGTCGTCGGTCGTCGGTCGTCGGTCGTCGGTCGTCGTCGTCGTCGTCGAAACGTCCCCTGAGAACCCAACACTCCCCAAAAGGTCCTCCCCTATCCGACCGTTACGTCGGGCATGCCCTCCTACAGGCGGACTTTGGACGGAAAAATACGAGGGGTCCAATATATATATATATATATATATAACAAAAAATTACCCCAGCGAGTCAAAAAATCGCCCCCAGACTATTCTAGAACTATCTTCAAAGCTTCTCTGGTGGAGGGAATGCCCGACTTAGATCTAACTAGAGGCCTCCCAGATGGGGTCCGAGTAGATGGGGTCGAAGGATCTCGCCGCATCGCCGATACATCGGCGATGCATCGGCGATGCATTGGCGATGCATCGGCGATGCACCGGCGATGCATCGTCGACGTGGGCGATGCATCGGCGCCGTCGACGTGAAGCTAATCGGGCCCTACATCGAGCCGCATCGGCGATACATCGGCGATGCGGCGCGATCCTCCGACCCCATCTACTCAGCTACTCCGACCCCATCTGGGAGGCCTAGACTAACGCCGCCTCTCATCGGAGCAGGCGGCGACGGCGGCCGCCGCGGCCGCGGAGGGGGGCCTCCACGAGCGCCCGAGCAGGGGCGGCGGCCCCTCCGCGAAGGCCGAGGCCACGATGCCGCCCAGGTGCGCGAAGGGGCCCTGCGCGCAGAGCGCCGGCTGTCGTCGCACCAGCGGCGGCGAGATATGAACAAGGAACGGCGACACCAACACCACCAGGGCGAGGAGATGCGAGGAGGCAAGGGGGGTATTCCTGGTGGTGTGGTCCCCCCTCTCGCTCGAGACATCCTTAGCCTCTAGCACGGGGAGTCACCGTGGGCCTCCTCGCTGGAGGTGGGCCCCCTGGTGTTGTTGGTGTCGCTTCTCCTACCTCCGAAGAGCAGGCGAGCGCGCTCCACGACTCGTAAAGTAACTAACTGCTCCTGGCGGGCGAAGGACGGTAGAGAGTAAAGTTTTCCGCCGTCGGGGGCGCCTGCACCCCAAGCGGCTGGAAAGCTCATACCGATACGGTGCCACGCAGGGGTAGAAACTTTCCAGCCGCCCGGGGGGCAGGCGTCCTCGACGGCGGAAACCTGATTTCATACCGCTCTTCGCCCGCAGATGCTCGCAAAGGGCCTCGATCCGCCTCGGAGGATCTAGGATACATTTCGTCGAGGCAGACGTCTGTGCTTCGGGCGTCTGCGAGAGGGGCGGGGCCCTCCCTGCCATCATTCTTGGAGGGGTGCCGGAGCGAAGGGCGCCGGCGCACCAGGCGCACAGGCGATGCTGTGCGTGGTACGCCGAGAAGGTCTTGCACATGGTACGCCTCCTCCTCCCGAAGGAGCATGCGCACGCATGCTCCGATCACGAGGGCATTCACCAGAGTCCCGCGCAGTGCGCGCAGTGTCCTCCGCACGAGGCCTCCTCCCGAGACTGGCGCGAGGCCTCCGCACGAATCCTCCGCACGAGGCCTCCGCACGAGGCCTGTTCGACTCAGAATGATACTCCTCCTGAGCATCCAACCTCCCTCCTCCTCCTCCTCTTCTCCTCCCTCCTCCTCCTCATCCTCTTCGGCAGGCGACGGGTGAACAATGGGCTTGCGGGGTCCCATCGGCGGGGCAGCGAGTCGCTAGGCGACATGCCCCTACCCAGTGCCAGCGTCCATTCGCCCTACTGGCGAAGCGGGGCTTGTCGTTGTTTCAGCAGCGGCATGATTTCTGCGAGTCCCATGCTCCCATGCTCCTCCTTTTTCCTCCTCCTTTTTCCTCCTCCTCCTCCTCCTCCTCCTCCTCCTCCTCCTCCTCCTCCTCCTCCCCCTCCTCCCTCCTCCTTCGGCCGGCGTGCTGTTGTGTCCACGGCCTGGGCCCCAGGAAGCCTGGGTTACCCTGAGATCTGGTCGTTTTCGTCGGTGTTCCAGCCTCGGGGTGCGTTCCAGCAGCTTCGACTCGCCGAGAGCGTTTTGGGGGTGTCCAATTCGTCCCAAGCGGCCGCCCCAGGCTTTGGTTATGGCCCGAAAGCCGGAGCTCGAACCGGGGGCAACGTAGGTGGATAGGCTCAGGCGGGGGACGCATCGATTCCCCACCTCGCATTTGTTCCACGCTGCGCGTTCTTGCCACAGGATGATTGGGTCTAGGGCTCCCATCTTGATTCGTCGTAGGGTAACCGATCCCCATCTGCACGTGGCCTTGGCCGCACTGACCGACTTGCCCCCACAGGTGGGGATATATCCTGCTCCCTTCGGTCTTCGCGGGAGCTATCCCCGCCTAGGGTGTGGGCTGGTGGGAGGATCGCGGCAAAATCTGCCACAGCGATTGCAGCGATTGGTGTTTGTGTGTATGTGTGTGTTTGTGTGCTGTGCGTTTCGTGTTGTGTCTTGTATGTTGTGTGTTGTGTGTTGTGTGCTGTGTGCTGTGTGTTGTGTGTTGTGTGTTGTGTGTTGTGTGCTGTGTGTTGTGTGTTGTGCGTTGTGTGTTGCGTTGTGTGTGTGCGTGTGGTGTGTGGTGTGTGGTGTGTGAGTGTGAGTGTGAGTGTGTGTGTGCGCGTGTGTGTGTCCGTGTGTGTAAGTGTGTGTATGCGTCGGGCCCGTTCTTCTTGTTCGTCCTGACTCTTGCGGAAAATGCGTTGATGTTCTCAGCACATCGATCACAACATGCGGGAATGCGCTTGGCAAAACCCTTGCGTCTTGTGCCATCCGAAAAACACCAAACAAAAAGAAGGTTGGCGGCGTTCCATCTTCCAACCTGCACCCACGTCCTCCTCCTCCTCCCTCTTCCCTCCTACCCCCTCCTCCTCCTCCTCCTCATCGTCATCGCTCTGATTACAGGGAGTTCAAAAATCAAGGATTTTCAAAAACAAGGAAATACGAATTCAAGGTTGTCGCGTATCTATCCAGCTCCAAGGCGTGGCAGAAACCAAAACTAGGAATTAACAAACTAGAAAAGGCGCAGCGACGCGGCATGAAATAAAACAAGGTTTTTGCTAGCAGGATGAATCACCACGAAATGTTGTGGGTGCGCTCGGCATCGCACTCCTAGTTCTGCAAGGGATTACCGCCAGTGGTTGTGCCGGCGGTTTTGCTGGTGGTTGTGCTGGTGATTGCGCTGCTGGCGGTTGTGCTGGCGGTTGCGCTGGTGATTGTGCTGCTGTTTTTTCCTGATGGTTGTGCTTCTGGTTGTGCTGCTGGTGGTTGTGCTGGTGGTCTTGCTGGTGGATGTGCGGGTGGTTGCGAGGGTGGTTGTGCGAATGGTACTGCTGGTGGTTGTGCTGGTGGTTGTGCGAATGGTCGTGCTGGTGGTTACGCTGGTGGTCATTGTGTCGGTGGTTGCGCTGGCGCTTCCGCTGGTGGTTGTGCTGGCAGTCGCGCTAGTGGTTGTGCCGGTTGTGGTGCTGGTGATCTTGCTGGTGGTTGCTGGTTGTCGTGCGGATGGTTGTGCTCGTAGTTGCGCTGGTGGTGGTTGCGCTGGTGGGTGCGCTGGTAGTTGAGCTGGTGGTTGTGCTGGTGGCTGTGCTGGTGTCTGTGCTGGTGGTCGTGCGGGTGGTTGTGCTGGTGGTTGTGCGGGTGGTTGTGCTGGAGGTTGTGCGGATGAGTGTGCCTGTTGTGATTGTGCGGGTGGTTGTGCTGGCGGTTGCGCTGGTGGTTGTGCGAGTGGTTGTGCTGGTGGCTGTGCCTGTGGTTGTGCTGGTGATCGTGCGGGTGGTCGCGCCGGTGGTGGTGCTGGCGGTTCAGATGGTTGTGGTTGTGCGGCTGCTTGTGCTGGTGGTTGCGCTAATGTTTGTGCTGGTGGTCGTGCGGGAGGTTGTGCGGATGATGGTGCTGGTGGTTGTGCTGGTGGTTGCGCTGATGGTCGTGCTGGTGGTTGCGCGGGTGGCTATGCGGGTGGTCGTGCTGGTAGCTGTGCGGGTGGTTGTTCTGGTGGTGGTGCGGGTGGTTGTGCGGGTGGCTGTGCTAGCGGTGATTGTGCAGATGGTTGTGCGGTTGGTTGTGCTGACGACCGTGCTAGTGGTCGTGCCGGTGGTTGTGCTGGTGGTTGTGCTTGTCTAGTGCTGGTGATTCTGCTGGTGGTGGTTGTGCTGGTGGTCGTGCTGGTGGTTGTGCTGGTATTCGTGCGAGTGGTTGTGCTGGTGGCTCTTTGGGTAGTTGTGCTTGTGGTAGTTGCGCGGGTGGCTGTGCTGGTTGTTGTGCGGGTGGCTGCGCGGATGGTTGTGCGAGTGGTTGTGCTTGTGGTCGTGCTGGTGGTGGTTATGCTGGCTGTTTTGCTGGTGCTTGTGCTGATGGTTGTGCTTGGTATTGTGCTGGTGGTTGTGCTGTTGGTTGTGCTTGTGGTGCTTGTGCTTGTGGTGGTTGTGCGGGTGGTTGTGCTGAAAAGTTTTGCTTGCGGTTGTTGGGCTGATGATTGTGCGGGTGGTTGTGCTGGTGGTTGTGCTGGTGGTGGCTGTGCGATTGACCGTGCTGGTGGATGCGCAGGTGGTCGTGCTGGTGGTTGTGCTGGTGATTGTGCTGATGGTTGTGCTGGTGGTTGTGCTGGGTGCTGTGCTGGTTGTGCTGGTGGTGATTGTCCTGGTGGTTGTGCTGGTGGTCCTGCTGGTGGTTGTGCTGGTGGTTGTTGGGCTGGCGATTGTGCGGGTGGTTGTGCTGGTGGTTGTGCGGGTGGCGGCTGTGCGGGTTGTCGTGCTGGTGGTTGTGCTGTGCTGGGGGGTTGTGCGGGTGGTTGTGCTGGAGGTTGTGCTGGTGGTTGTGCTGGTAGTTGTGCTGGTGGTTGTGCTGGTGGTTGTGCTCGATGTTTTGCTGCTGGTGGTTGTGCTGGTGGTTGTGCGTGTGGTTGTGGTGGCTGTTTTGCTGGTGGTTTTGCGGGTGGTTGTGTTGGTGGTAGTGGTTATGGCAGTTGTGCTGGTGGTTCCCCTGGTGTGTGCGCTGGTGTTCCAGCATGTGGCTGTGCTGGCGGTCGCACGAGCAATCACCGCCAACACGACCCGCCATCACAACCGCCAGCCCAACAACCACCAGCACAACCCTCCAGCAAAACCACCACCAGCAAAACAACTACCACGAAAACCACACCCTAGCAAAAACACACACGGGGCAACCATCG